GTGAAACGGCCCCAGTAAAAGCTCCCACAGCTGCACCGATGGCCTCCGCCTCTAGAGGGCAGCACAGCATAGGTAGCTGTGCCTCAACATACCAGTGCGCAACATCCTCCCACACTCTCTCCTAAGGGCAGCCCTCCAGAAGATACTTCCTCCTGCCATCACTCAATGGACCCTAGCTTACCATCCCACCACCTCCCCCAGATGCCCTGACACAAAATCTCAGTGGCAGCTTTGACTTTTCCTCTATTAAGCAGTCCTGAACATTCTTCATCCTGAATGTCAGAGGATTTGAGCAGCTGCTTCCTTTACCATCCCAGCTGCTGCTGACCTGACATTCTGTCATCTGAGCTGCTCTCGTGTGTGTGTGTGTGTGTGTGTGTGTGTGTGTGTGTGTGTGTGTGTGTGTGTGTGTGTGTGTGTGTGTGTGTGAATGTATGCTTCAAAACACACAATACCACTCTGGGGAGACAGCTCTGTTGGTATCCTGAGTTTTATCCCCAGAACTCATGTTAAGAGACAAATAAAACGCCTTTATTTTACTATAAGATGGTTAGTGGGTAAAAGCACATCCTGCCAAGCTACCTGAGTTCGATCCCCAGGACCCACCTGGTGGACGGTGAAGAGCCAACTCCCACAAGTTGCCCTCCGACATTCACTCTCCATTATAAATGCACAAGCATATAAACATATAAAAATGCTTTCACACACACAAACACACACGCATGCATGCACTCACACATATCTGGATAAATAAATAAACAAATAAAATTATAAAAGAATTCAAAAGTCAGGCATTGTGCAATCACTTGGAATCACAGTGCCAGGGAGATTGAGACAGGTGGATTCCTAAGGGAGATGGCAAAATGCCCACCTGACCAGTGAAAAACCTGTCTCAGAAAATGTATGGTGCTGGAAGGATGGCACCCAAGGCTGCCCTTCCCCTCCATACATATGTGTAGAACATACATGCACAAAGATAAAAAATATAGACACCCATATCCAGAAAAAGCAGCAAGCAGCGTACTGAGTCCTCTCTACACCGCTGCTTCCTAACAAGGTAAGAATTTTAAAGCTGGAAGAGATTAACTTGGCTGAGGGGCCACAACTCTGCAGAGCAGCGAGAGGCGAGACTTCACTTCAGCATGCTGGCTGGAGGTCACACCCATGACCCACAAGTCCCCAGGGCTTCCTTCTCTGCTGATTTCTAAACCGCTGTGACCCTCACAATGACTTTGAGATGGATTTTCTAAACCAGTCTCCTAAGCAATTGCATTGCCTCTTCTTGCAGGGACAGAACAAAAAGTCCCTGGAGTTTGCAGCAAACCCCAGAACTTACCTAATGGCTTACTTACCCAGATTAGGAACTGCTGCAACACACTTCCTAGGTACAAGGAGGTACCACCTACCCAGGGCCAGAGCCAGAGCCAAGGGAAGGAAGCTGCTCTTAAAAGGCCAGGTATATAGGCAGCCAAGATGGAGAGTTTCCCCTGTTCCCAGTGGAGCTAAACCTGGAAAGTAGTAATAAAAGAATAGGCTAGGAGAAATCCCATCACTCTGGAAATGGGCACGCACAAGGACTCTGAAAGCCCATGTAGCTTGCTCAAGGTCACACACTAGTTAAGGAGCAGAGCAAGAAGCAAAAGAGGGGCTGGGTTCAGTCGCTGGTAGGGTGCCTGTCTAACTTGTACCAGGTCCTGTATTCAGCCTCTAACACTGGGAAGACAAACAAACAAACAAAAACCCTGTGTCACCTTTGATTTGGGAGGACCCACTCCAGCAGTCCAATAGGTTGTCCTGTTTCTCAAACACTTCTCAACTTAGTCTTCAGCTTCCAGGTTCACTACACATCAAAACCCACTCTCCAGCCACAGGCAAGGTCTCGTCTCAAAGCATAAGTCAAATTATGTCACACATGAGCTTCAAATCGCACAAAGTGTTTATTATTAGGATAGGGTCCACCTCTGTAGCCCATGGAGACCTGGAACTTGTCTGGGTTGATCCCAACCCTACTGTATCTGCCTGTCTCCCCAAGGCTAGGGTTACAGGGGTATATGAGCAGCCCAAGCACTCCCATTCTCTTACAATGGAATAGGGCTCAGGGATACAGCTCAGCAGTAGAGGGCTTACCTGGCATGCCAGAAGCCCTGGATTCCATACAAACAGTGCTTTTAAAAAGAGGGAAGGGAGGGAGGGAGGGAAGGAGGAAAGGAGGGAGAGAGAAAGGAGAGAGGGAGGGAGGGGGAGGGAAGGAGGGAGGGAGAGAGGAAGGGAAGAAGAAAGGGAGGGAGGAAGGAAGAGAAGGAGGGAGGAAGGGAAGGAGGGAGAGAGAGGAGAGAGGGAGGGAGAGAAGGAGGGAGGGAGAGAAGGAGGGAGGGAAGGAGGGAGAGAGGAAGGGAAGAAGAAAGGGAGGGAGGAAGGAAGAGAAGGAGGGAGGAAGGGAAGGAGGGAGAGAGAGGAGGGAGGCAGGGAGAGAGGCAGGGAGGGAGGGAGGGAGGGAGGGAAGGAGGAAGGGAGGAAGGGAGAGAGGGAGGATAACTATTTATTTATTTTTTTGTTTTTTGTTTTTCGAGACAGGGAATTATTTATTTAATGCCAGTACTGAGAAGCAAGAGACAGAAGGATCAGGAGTTCAAGGTCTTCATCAGCTACATAACAAATTTGAGGACAGCCTAAGCTAATGAGACTCCGGAAAGAGAGAGGAGAAGGGAGGAGAGAGGAATGGGGAAAAGAAGGGGAGGAGTTAGGAGTGTGCCTAGTGGAAGACTGGAAGGGCACTTGCTGCGCATGTGAGCTTTGGAACTAGAGAAATGGCTTAGCAATTCAGAACACTTGCTGTTTTTGCAGAGGACCAGGGTTCAATTCCTAATGCCCACATGGTGTCCAGGGGGATCTGTTGCCATCTTCTGACTTTCTCAGGCACTGCATGCATGTGGTGCAGACATATATGCAGGCAAAACACCCATTCTCATAAAATAATAATAATAAAAAAGACACCTTAGGTTTTGTTTCCAGCACTACAAAAACAAATTTGAAAAAAAAAAAATCAAAGGTTCAAAATCTTAGGCTGGGGATGTAGGTAGTCAGCAGACTGCTGGCTTTGAGTGCACAGTGCTCTGGGTTCAACCCAGCAGCACATAAAACATATGCGGTGACACAAGTCTGTAATTCCAACACTTGGGAGGTGGAAGGAGGAGCAGAAATTCAAAGTCATCTTCAGCTACGTGGTCAGCATGAGGCCACCCTTAGCTACATGAAGACTAGCAATAAATAAATAAATAAATAAATAAATAAATAAATAAATAAATAATTTAATTAAATTGAAAAAAGAGACAATCCAGACTTTTCCTTCCTCATTCCTGTGCTTGCTGTGACCAGAGTCCTACTCTGCTTTGTCTACTAGACCAGTCAACCTCCAGGTCTTCTGGAACCTTCCTATGATATCATACCCTAAGCACCTATTCCAAAGGCCCTCTTTGCCCTGATTTAATATCTTCAGAGACTCTGGTTGAGTTTTGTTTTGTTTTTGAAACAGCGTCTTATGTAGTGCAAGCTGTCCTGGAATTCCCTGTGTAGGTGAGGATGACCTTGAACTCCTGATGATCCGCCTCCACCAACACCGCCAGCCAACTTTCAATAAATATGCCTTAAATAAATAGACAGAAGGGCAATGGCTTCTTAACAAACTGCTGGGACAGTCAGCAGATCTCAATGTCTCCAGCTAAGGGGCTAGAGAGATGACTTGATATTGGTTAAGAATGCTTGTTGCTTTACAGAGGATCTGTGTTCAGTTTTCCCAGCTTAACAACTACCAGTAACTCCAGCTCCAGGAAATCCGACACGACTCCTCTTTTCTGGCCTCAGCATGTACTGTGCTCACACACACACACACACACACACACACACACACACACTCACACTCTCACACACACACACACATAATTAAAAATAAGGATAAATATCTAATGGCAGTGGGCTGGCTATTGTTATGTTGATGGCTAAAAGTTTAAAAATAATTGTGCTTATGAGAACTGTAAAGCACAATTGGACCTCCAAATATTAAGGGTTAAGAGCTGTTTTAAAATTGCCTGGTCTTGTACAATTTTAACAAAACGGTTGTTTATGCATGAAACTAGGTCATAAGGTTGACTGCTGCTTTTGTTTCTGTAAACAAAAGCTTGTTTTGCTTCCGACAACCTTGAGCCTGCCTGTAATCAGAATGTAACTTTATGTTCCTTGACGTTGTAAACCCCTGACTCATGTGGCGGGCTGTGTTTGGGAATCCCGAGTCCTGGGTGTAGACCTGGCACTAGTATCTGAATAAAAAAAGCCTCTAGCCTCTTTTTTGTTGAAAATTTATTAATGGCCAGACTGGTGAATCTCTGAATGACCTTAGACCCATAATAGCACCTAAGACAGTGTTTACAGCTTTGCACACATACTGTCAAGAGATATCACAGAAGTCTCACCCGAACCAATAACATTAGCCCCATTCTAAAACGTGGAAACCGAAATAAAGAAGCTAGGCAAACTTCAGTCACATGTAACAGAATCTACCCCCAGGATGCCTAAGTTTACCATGACCTGGGGTCCTCAGTCTAAAAATCACAGCAATTCTTAATAACAGCCTGAAGGCAACTGTATAAATGCAGAGGGAGGCATGTGGGTCTAGGCCTGGATCCCTTGGGTCTGTGGGAGGAGGCCGAGTCTGAACTCGTGGATCTAAGCGAGGAGGGTGAGGAGCTGAGGGAAGAGGGCTGGAGCCTGGACCCCTGAGTCTGAGGGAGGAGGCCTGTTGTCTAGACCCATAGGTTCAAGCAAGAGCTGGGGATTGGGGAGCTGGGTCCTGGCCTGGTCCCCTGATCTAAATGAGTGACAGTTCTATCTAGGTGGGAGGATATTCGAGGCTGCCCAATGGCAGCTGCTTGCATCCCGCTAGCCCCGCCCCAGAGCTGCATGCTTCTATGGGCCTTGCCATTTCTTCTTTTGCCCCTCCCCTTCCTGTTAAAGCCCCAGAAGGATCTAGAAAAGATTTCAGCCGCGTTGAGAAGATGGAAGAGCGAAAAGATAAGGCTTCGTGCAATAGGTGAGTGAGATAAAAAACCTTCCAGGAAAGAGCCTCGTGAAGAAGAGGGGACAGAGAATATTAGAGCCAGGAGTGTCTTGAACTGAAAGTATCATTTAAAAACCAAATAGACAGACCCAGGTATTATGACCTAGGAACTCTCTGGTGGACTTTGGTGGCGAACTGTTGAGCAAGATACTTCCAGATATGGAAGCAAAAGGAACAGAAGTTCAAGGCCATTCTCGGCTGCAGAGCAGAGTATGAGACGAGCCTGGCTACATGAGACCTTGTCTCAAAATAAATAAGTAAAATAATTAATTACAAAGTTAAGCCTTAGACACTTAGAGCTGGGAATTGGAACTGCGGTGTTGGATGCTGGGACGGTGCAAAGGTACAGGTAGTTGATGCACTGACCGGCCTTATTCTCTTCCTAGGGACAACCTTTCCCCGCCGTTAGCCGGGACTGAGGCATGGCCTGATCCAGCCACCCCAGCCCTGCCACCCTCACTTCTGAGCACCCTAGACCCAGCCCACCTGGGGCTCCCTGAGCAACTGGCTTCTGTCACTGTCCCCATCCGCCTGGACACTCTGTCCTACCTCCTACATAGTGCCCTCCTGGGAACCTACAACTTCCAGCAGTCCTTACCCCCTTGCTCCTGCTCTGCCCAGCCATGCCACATGGCACCAGACACAGTCAGGAGGCCTCCCAGGAGATGGGACCAGGCCCGTGGGGGCTGTGAGATTGAGCGCAGGCCTTCCCGGGGCAGGGGTAGGGGCCGGGGCCAGTCACGATGGAGCCCCGGGAGAGCCAAAGAGCAGGAGAGGAGCATGGCAAGAGGCCCTGGGGCTGGCCCCAAGGCCCAACCAGCGACACCACCATCGCAGGAGGAACAGAAGGAAGCTGGAGGGCTGGAGCCACCCCTGCCTCCAGCACCTTTGTCTGAAGACTGGGAGACAGACTACTAGGACCCCGAAGAGCACCCAGTACTTGGCCGCCCAGGCCTTCCCAGAGCTTACAGTGTTCTTAATCCTTCAGAGGTACCCTCAAGAAATATCATCTCTACAACCTCCCCGGTCTCCAAACCACAGCCTCTGAAGGCCTCCTGCAGATCACCTTGTAAAGCCTAAACTTGACTTAGCAACCCAACCCCAGCTACTACCCCAGCTTATTCTCAATGGCCCAGGCTGCCCCAACCCCATTTCCAGACCAAATCATCACCGCAAAGCCCTTCCTCTCCCCATTCCACAGTCAACCCATTTCCCCATCCTTCCCCACACCCCTCTTGACCTTCAGTTCTGACCCATGTTCATTCCTAGTTTGTTCATTTGCTGTTTTTTTCAGTACTAGTCTCCCGAATGGCAGTCAAACACTGAACTAAACTGCAATCCTCTTTTATTTTTATCTTGAGAAAGGGTCTCACCAAGTGTCCAAGCTGGCCTTGAACTTGTGATCCTCCTGTCTCAGCCTTCCCAGTCCCCTCTTCCTGGTCCTCATTTCGTATTCTCCTCATCTCATACCACCTTCATATTCACCTTCATGTTACACCATCCTCAACCCCAGCCACAGCCGCAGCCGCGTCCCAGCCCAACTCTGACAAGCCCTCCATCCTACCCCACAAGGAACCCTTTGACATGTCCAGACACCTGTATCCACCACCACCATTGCTGTCCCCTGTCCCTCGGGCTGGGAAGCCCAAGTTGAACAATAAAAGGTCTCTGCTCTATCTCTTTTGTGTGGGCCATGCTTCCCGCGAGGCTCAGGCTCCCCAGAGTGGGGACTGGAAGTAAAGCCTGCGAGATGGGGAGGGCCACAGACAAAGGCTGGTGGGGCCCCCTTGTCCCCTGTTTCAGCAAATTCCATTGAGGCCTCTGCTGCCGCTGTGTTTCTGCCTGCTGGAAGCTGCTGGGCCATGCAGCCATTGTGTGGGGAGGCTTAAGGGATTTGGGGGAACCACGAGGCAGAGATGCCAGCAACCTGGCTCGGCGGCTCAGTCTCCACAGAGGGGCTACGGCAGAAGGAGGGCTCAGAACAGACTCCGCCACTCAGGTAGGTATGAGCATGAGACCTGCAGCCCCTTACCTGAGAAGTCCAGGCTCCCAGGCCCTTCTCTCCTGGGGACTTAAATCCCTGCTCTAGTCCTTCCTCTCCAAGAGCCAAGAACTGAGGCTCATGAACATCTTCCTATCGGGAATGAAGAACCCAGATTCCCAGCCTTCTTCCCTCAGACCTGAGTCCAGTCTCCACCCCTCTTCCCCTTCCTTAGGCCCATAGGTCCATTCCCCAGCCTCCCTCTCAAACCCAGGGGTCCAGACCCTCCCTTCTCCTCTCTCAGGCCCAGGATACCCACTCATAACCTCAGCTCTCCCCTCTCCACAGATCACCATGTACAGCTTCATGGGTGGCGGCCTCTTCTGTGCCTGGGTGGGGACCATCCTGTTGGTGGTAGCCACAGCAACGGACCACTGGATGCAGTACCGGCTGTCGGGGTCTTTCGCACACCAGGGCCTGTGGCGTTATTGCCTGGGCAGCAAGTGCTTCCTGCAGACGGAGAGCATTGGTGAGCCTTGAGGCCAGGGTTTGAGTGGTGCTGAGGTCTGGCCTTCCCCCAGAGCACAGCTTCACAGCCATCTTTCCGGACATTCTAAGAGAAAGGATGGTGGCTCCGAGAGGCAGATGCACTGGCACTAGGGTATTCAACAGGAGGTGGAACGGACTTGGGATCTGTGGTTGTTTTCTAGTTGCAGGGACAGGGTGTAAGGTTTAGTGGTTAGGTTAATGGGGCGGCATTTTCCCACATAAAATTGTGTCAGATCAGCAATGAAACTGGGGTTGTCAGAACAGTATCTTACAAATATCTGCTATGACTGGGTATGGTGGCATATGCATATAATCTTAGCATTTGGGATGTGGTGACAGGAGGATTTTGAGTTTTAGGCTACATAGTTTGACCCTGTTTCAAAAAACAACAAACAAACAAATGCTATGAGCCAATAAACAGTGTTAGGAACAGGGACCACAAGAGGCTGTTGATGACCTCATGCCAGATGAAAGACTTTTTGCTATCTACTGTGTACCAGGCCATGTACCTGTAGATGGATGGATACATGGATGGATGAATAGGTGATTGGTTGACTGACTGATGATTGATTAATTGACTGATATATATAGGATATAGAGATGATGGGTAGATAAGCATAGATGATAGATAGATAGATAGATAGATAGATAGATAGATAGATAGATAGATAGGGAGGAAAGATGATAGAGTGGATGGATGGATGGATGGATGGATGGATGGATGGATGGATGGATGGATGGATGGATGGACGGACGGACGGACGCATGGATGGGATAGAAATATGATGGATAAAGTTCATGAGTTCCTTTGAGCTTGGTTACCCATCATGATCTTGACCCTCCCTTGCTCATGTAACCCCTCTTCTCTCTCTTCAACTGGACTCTCAGAGCTCGGCCAGGTGTATGGTTGTGGGTCTCTGCATCTGCTTCCATGAGTTACTGGCTGAAGGCTCTATGGTGACAGAGTGTTCACCAACATTACCAGGGTAGGCCATTTTAGGCATCTTCCCCATTGTTGCTAATAATCTAATCTGGGGTCATCTTTGTGGATTCCTGGGGATTTCCCTACCACCAGGTTTCCCCCTTACCCCATAATGTCTCCTATCAAGATATCTTTTTCATTGCTCTCCCACTCCACTGTGGAACCTACATGGGACTGGACTAGACCCTCTGCATATGAGAGACAGTTGTGTAGCTGGGACTGTTTGAGGAGACCCTGGCAGTGTGATCAGGATCTATCCCTGGTGCATGAGCCAGCTTTCTGGATCCCATTACCTATGGTAGGACACCTTGCTCACCCCTGATAAATCGAGGAGGGGCTTGGTCCTGCCTCAACTGGATGTACCAGGCTTAGCTGTCCCCCCATGGGAGGTAACAGTTGTTATCCTGTTGGAGGAGGGGATGAGGGATGGGAAGGAATGGGGGGGGGGGCAGGAGGAGGGATGAGAGGGGAAATATGTGGTTGATATGTAAAACAAATTTAAAAAAGAAAAAAAAGGTAAACAAAAAAGAAATATGATGATAGAATGGATGGATAGACAGGATAGGCTGATGGTGGGAAGGGTGGATAAACGTATAAATAATGTAGAAAATGATGGATAGAATAGATAGATGGATAGATAGGAAGGATAGGACAAGCTAGATGATAGTTAGGATAGGGTGAGTGGATGGATAGATAAGTAGGAAGTATCTTAGTTACTCTTCTATTGCCATGACAAAACACCATGACCAAGGAAACTTATAGAAGAAAGAGTTGATTGGGGCTTACAGTTTCAATGTGTTAGAGTCCATGAGCATCATGATGGGGAGCATGGCAGCAGCCAGGCAGGCATGGTGCTGCAGTAGTAGCTGAGAGATGACCTCTTAATCCACAAGCAGGAGGGAGGGAGGGAAAGAAAGTGGGGGAGGGAGAGAGAGACTAGGCCTGGCATGGACTTTAGAAACCTCAGAGTACACTCCTAGTGACACACCTCCTCCCAACAAGGCCACACCTCCTAATCCTTCCCAAACAGTTCCACCAACTGGAGACCAAACATTCAAATATATGAGCCTATGGGGTTTATTCTCATTCAAATCACCAGACGTAGGTAGACAGACAGGCCAACAGACAGACAAGCAGATTGGCTGGCCGGCTGGCCAAGCATGGTAGCTTACACCTATAATTCCAGAATCAGGAGGCTGAGACAAGATGATTGCCCATCATCCAAACAAACAAAGGGTACATGAATTCTAACCCTGAAGCAACAGAGAGAGATGTAGATCCCCGAGGCTCACTGACCAGCTAACTCAGCCTACTTGGTGAACTCCAAGCCAGGGAGCAACCTCATTTCAAAAACTAAGGTGGACAACCCCTGAGGAACAACACCCAAAGTCAACCTTGGATCTCAATACACACATGCACCCACACAAACAGGCACAGACACAAGCATGTATACACACACACACACACACACACACACACACACACACACACACACTAGATGAAAGAAATGTAACATGGAGAAGTATATTACATAGTATACATAAGGTATGCATATATAATAATAATGAATTATATGCTCTAGTCTACATAATATATTCTCTATAGCATGGGAAATTAGTAATATTTAATGTTTTGTTTCACATATCCTACAGTACAGAACATAAGCTGATATATCATAATACATCATGTTACACTGCACAAGATTTTATACAGTATATTAATAATTACTGAGTTTTATTCCTGAAAACAAAAATAAGCTAAACCTACTAAGTGCTTACCTAGCCCAAGCACTTTTCATAGGTCAGCCTCCTTCCATATCCCAGGAGTGCCAGCAGGCAGTTGAGTTGTCTGTAAGGATTGGACAGAGGCAGATATGGTGGTATACACCTACAATTCAAGAACTCAGGAGACCCGGGAGGACCCACACTTCCAGGACAGCCTGGACTATGTAGCAAGAGCCTGTCTCAAAAACAGAGCAAAATGTGGTATCTCAAGCCTATAATTCTAGCACTTGGAAGGCAGAGACAGGAGAGGCAGGAATTTAAGGTCAACCTTAGCTACATCATGACTTCAAGAACAAGAAGAGTGGGTTATAAGAGACTGGGTCTCAAAACTTGTTACTAAACACCTATCATGTGCCAGATAGGTGTCAGGGGCCAGGGATGCAACAGAGAGTAAAGTAGGCAGCCGAGGTCTTTTCAGATACCACAAATATAGTTAAAGAAAAGAACAGGACTTTTTGGATGCAGGAAAGTATAATGGATGAAATGGAAAGGATCAGAAGATAGAGATTATGGTCAAGAGCATATGGGGAAACATTCACTCAATAAACATTTCACAGCAAGAACCAAGCCAGTCCCTTCCTGGAGGAGAAGTCAAGCTGGAGACAGTTAGAACCCAGAGCAGAGTGTGAGGAGAGTGCCCAGGATCAGAACAACACTCTCCAGAAGAGGTTGTGAGAGCTGGGCCTTTGGAGGATGAGCATGCTGTGTCCAAAGAAGAGCTGAGTCAGATACATGGAGAAAGACAAGGCACAGTGATCCCAGAGTGGCCCAGGAGTGACTGTGATGTGTCCCCACAGCATATTGGAATGCCACCCGGGCTTTCATGATCCTGTCTGCCCTGTGTGCCACCTCGGGCATCATCATGGGTGTCCTAGCCTTTGCACAGCAGTCCACCTTCACCCGCCTCTCCAGGCCCTTCTCTGCCGGCATCATGTTTTTTGCCTCCAGTGAGTGAGTCCACCCTTCCTTCCCCACCCCAATTTTCCAGCTCCTCAGCCCCAGTCCAACACCCACTTCCTGTCACTCCCCACTCTGCTTCCTCGCTCACCCCTAGACCCAGCTCCACTGACTTTTCTTTCTCCTTTGCTTTTAACTCTGCTTTTTAATTAGAGGCAATCACTTCCTCTCTCCCTTCTTTCCTTTCTCTCTCTTGTCCTGGTGATGAGAATAAAATCTCAGGAACTTACACACACTAGAAAGACATTCTGCTACTCTTAGCTTCTTACTGGAGGATTCTAGGCAGAGACTCTACCACTGAGTACCACTCCAGCCCCTCACTAGGGCATGATAGGCAGGGGCTCTACCACCGAATCACACTCTTAGCCCCTCACTAGGGGATTCTAGGCAGGGATTCTAATACTAACTAACACCCCATAGAACTTAAAATATATTTACACTTAAGTGTCAGTCTTTATAGATATTCAGCACAGGACCAACTAAGAAGACACATAGGGTGGATCCTGTTCGATTTCATTCCACAGGAGATGAATAGAGTGCATTAGTGGCATTTCTCATTGCTATGACCAAATACTTAACAAGAAACAACTTAATGAAGGTAGGAAGGTATGTTTGGCTCTCAGTTTGAGGGCACAGCCCATCGTGGCAAAGAAATCACGATGGCAGAAACATGAGGCAGCTGGTCATATTGCATCCACAGTTAGGAAACAGAGATGAAGCTGGTACTCAGCTCACTTTCTTATTCTTCACTCTGTCCAGGACCCCAGCTCGTGAGATACTGCTGTCCACATTCCGGGTGTATATTCCACCTTAACGAAAATGCTCTGGAGGGGCTGGCAAACTGAGTCTGTGTCCCCATAAACTCAGAGAAAGAGAGAACAGACTCATATAGATTGTCCTCTGACCTCCTTACAAGTGCTGTGGCACACACACATAAATGAAATAATAACTTATCTGGAAACACACATATGCACAGTGTGTGTATGTGTGTCCTAGGTGATTCTAAATCCAATAGAGCAGGCACTGAAGACCAACCATCACAGATGGACTCACTGACCATGACTCTGTCTAACCTCCAGCTTCCCAGGTCCCAGAGGCAGCGCTCTCAGCTGGGGTCTTAATAACCTTCTACCTTCGTCATTGCTGTGAAGAGACACCATGACCACAGCAACTGTTATAAAGGAAAACATTTCATTGGGGCTGGCTTACAGTTTCAGAGATTTAGTTCATTATCTTCATGGTAGGGAGAATGTTGGCATTCACTGTGCTGGAGAAGTATCTGAGAGCTACATACCGATCCACTGGCCAAGAGGGAAACAGTCTGGGCTTGGAATGGGCTTTTGAAACCTCAAAGCCCACCCCCAGTGACACATTTCCTCCAATAAGACCACACCTCCCAATCCTAATCCTTTCAAATAGTGCCACTCTCTGATGACTAAGCACTAAAAAATACGAGCCTATGGGAGCCCTTCTTATTCAAACCACCACAGCCTCCAGTCCCCTGGTGACGTTTCTGATGGGCACCCTAAGCCACCCGTGCATTCATACAAACTCTGGTGTGATCCAAGGAGCTCTTTAGAGTAATTGAGACACTCTCTAACTCAGAACGCTGCAAGGATTTAGTTCCCCTTCCAGAATCCAGAGAAAAGGAACTGTCAAATGCTTTACTGTGCTTCCCAGCCTTATCCTCACCCAATCCCATCCCCCACTGAACCCCCGCTGGACCCCATATCCCCTTCACTGTCACTACTGTCCCCACCCCCATCCACCTCCCCTCTTCCTGATCTCCAGGTCTCTTATCCCACTAAATCTCAGCCCATGCTCTCTCCCCAGCTCTTTTTGTCCTGTTGGCCTTGGCCATCTACACTGGAGTCACCGTCAGTTTCCTTGGCCGCCGCTTTGGGGACTGGCGCTTTTCATGGTCTTACATCCTGGGCTGGGTGGCCCTGCTCATGACCTTCTTTGCAGGTACTGAGGCAGAGGGGTGGGGAGGTTGAAATCTGGGGCGAGGCGAGCAACCTCAGAGGGTGAGTTGACAAGGTATCCTACACAGATCCAAGGATCTAAGTGGTCTGGGGACTGGTGACCCTAAGGGAGGGAGAAAATGAGAAGTCTCTTGGGATGGAAAGGTAGGCCCAAAGAGTTTTGGGTATCAACGGATTCTGCCCACACAGGAATTTTCTACATGTGTGCCTACCGGATGCATGAGTGCCGGCGCCTATCCACACCACGCTGAGCCTTGCAGAAAACCTTGCAGCTGAAAGTTACAATGAGGGCACTGAAGAAGAAGGGGAGGACCCAGGGGCTGGAAATCCTGGCTCCTGAGGGAATGAGGGGGCTCAGTCCTGGATTCTAGACAGGGGAGCCCCTGATCCCTCTGTCCTCTGTGGGTCAGGTGGGAGGGAGTTGAGATGTGAACCCCCACCTGCCCCGAGGGGTGGTAGAAAAATGGAAACTCTTTTAGAGAGACATTTTGGGATTTAATAAAACTGATGTGAAACTACCAAAGTGTGAGTCCTCACAGGGCTGGTTTGGAGAGAATCGGGCTGTGTGGTGGTCGGGGAGCAGGTGTGTTCTGATATGGTGGCCTCTCTACTTCAGTTCTCCAGGGATGGGAACAAGATAAATGGGTCCCTACCTCAGAAATAGCCATGGTTTAATGTCTGGAGATGGATATGTGGGATAACCGAACAAACAAATTGATCTATAAAAACCTAGCGTCCCTGATCCCACTCACTTAAGCTCCAGGCAATTCCTCATCTCCCCTTCCCTCCGTGAATGGGTCCTTCACCAGGGACAGCACAACTCTGTCCCCCTCTCTATTTTATTTTACGCTTTTGGAAGGACAGGGTCTCGTGTAGCCTAGGCTGGCCTTAAACTCACGATCCTCCTGCCTCAGATCTCTTGAGTGCTGGGAAGACAGGCGGCCTATGTCACCACCATATTAAGGGATGACATACACATTTGTGCTTCGCTGTAGAGAGGGTGTTGACCACTACCGGAGGACAGAGGCAGAAGACCCTGAATTGCCACTTTGTTTCCATTGCCCAGACACCCTCACCTCGGGGATCAGACACCCATGCTGGAGGGCCCACGCAGGTGGGGTGACTTCTCACTGTATGTGTGAGATGAGGATGTTGGAAGGGCTTCCCCTCCTTCAGCTTTTTGGACTCCTCTCTGTCCTGGACAGAAGCCTGACTAGGAACATGGACTCTCTCCCCACGAAGTCCTTCCTCCCGTGGAACTGGTATTTTGAGCCCCCCACCCCTTTACTGTTGGTAACTCTAGTGCTAGAGTCGGAGCGAAGCGCAAAAACCACAGGAAAGTGTGACATAACTGCCCCTCCGCCACATCTCCCCTTTGAGTTAATTCACACCCTAGGATGACTAGTCCATCTCCCACCTCTGGGCCCCCCAAACCCCTCCCTAAGGTCTTCCAGGAAACCCTCCCCTGTTGTCTCCAACTCTAGAGGTGCAGAACCTGTGACAACAGTCTAAACCACTACCTAGACCACGGGAGGTGGACACCCCCAGAGCAGCCAGCCAGTAAAGTCATCAGCAGGGCCCTCCCCCACCACGCAGGAAGAGAGGAGCCAATCCAAGAGGGGAGGGGAAGTCACGCAGGAAGGGAGGGTGTGAGAAGAGTCAGATGCCAGGCCTGAAGCTACAGAGGACTCCCAGCCAAAGTGACTGCTTGCTGGCTGCTTCTCTAGTTCAGAGGACCCGAGAGTCTGGGTGCACATCCTTTTTCTGTCTCTAAGACCAATAGTCTAGGTTATCTGTGTCCATGGAGCCCTGCCGGTCCCTGGCTCTGCTTGCTGGCTCCCTGGGCCTGGTTTCTACTCTGATTGCTCTGAGCACTGACTTCTGGATAGTGGCCACAGGCCCCAACTACTCTTCCCACTCGGGCCTCTGGCCAGCGACACACGGGATCCAAGCAGCAGGTAAAGTACAGTGGGTTCTGGGTGGTGGGAATGGCCAGAGGGGACAGACACCCACAAGTCTCATCTTGCATCAGGTTATATCCATGTGACACAGAGCTTCTGTATCCTGGCCACCCTGTGGAGCCTGGTGTCTGTGGGCTTCCTGATTCTGTCTTACCATCCGGCCCTGTCCGCCCCAGGCCGTGGCCCTCTGGTCTCAACTGTCATGGCTTTTGCTGCAGGTATGAATGGGAACTGGGCTGCACTAGCACACAAGAGCTGGTGAGTCCTGCAGTGGCCAAGCCAGCTCTCTCTTGTTCTTGTCCTCAGCGCTCTCCATAATAGTGGCCATGGCAGTGTACACCAGTCATAGATGGAGCCAGACTCCATCTCCCCAGGTCCAGACATTCTTCTCCTGGTCCTTTTACCTGGGCTGGGTCTCCTCTGTCCTCTTCCTCTGTGCAGGTGACTATTCAGCCCGCCTCCCCGGGGAGGACCCTGCTGGGGTGTGGGGCAGGGCAGTGAAGGCCACTCAAGTACTTCATCCCCCTCCCACCTCTGTCTCCACACCAGGCTGCCTGAGCCTGGGTGCTCACTGTAGAACCCACCGGGCTGGGTACGAAACTCTGTGAGCAGAAGGCAAGCGAGTGGGGTCAGCGGGATGTTTGGAACCTTGTCCTCTCAGGAGCCACAGAAGAAATGCAGGAGTCTGTCTCTGCCCCTCCCGCCTTGCCTTACCTTTCATTGGTTTCTCCACACATTCAATAAAAACCTTCTGCGATCTAATTGCTCCAAGATCAATTCAGTCTCGACATAAACCAAGCCTATCATCCCAGCTACTCAGGAGGCCGGAGCAAGGAGTATCACAACTTCAAAGCCTGCCTGGGATACACAGTAAGTTCAAGGCTCACCTTAGTGAGACCCTGCCTCAAGACAAAAAATGAAACGAGGGCAGGTATTGTGGCTCAGTCGTAGAGACTTGCTGAGCATGAATGAGGTCCAAGTTCCATCCTTAGCGCCTAAGTCAACCATATATGAGCCTTATGGTGAGTAACAGAGAAGCCCTCAGGGAGGGGGAGAGCCATGCAGACCCGCCCACCTGAAGTGTGTTCCGGCCTGAGTGGACACGGGTTCCCTGTGTCTCTCCTCTCTTTGAATGCTTTTCTTTCTCTCAGTCTCTATCTTTCTCTTTTCTTCCCCCAATGGACCCCGTTTGACTAGATATTTCCTTTTCTCTCTGTGAGCCCACTCTGAGGCCACTGACACATATCACAAACAAGCCCTAACCACTAGCATTTGACACCAGCCAGATGACAGCCACAGCCTGAGGATGTGGGGGAAGACTAAACCCAGGCTTTTTTTTTTTTTTTTAAACCAGAGATGACATTTAGTAACTATTCTTTTGGTTTAGCACAGAAAATGGAATACAGGACCTCCTTCAAATAAGGCAAACCCTTAACCACCATGCTCCATTCCCAACTCTCTTATACCTTTTGAGATGAGGCAGTCCTTGAATTCACAGCAATCCTCCTGCTTTACCCTCTGAAATATTAGGATTACATATATTCATTAGTACAGGAATATGCAATCCAGGCAGAGGTGCCCAAAGATGGAGACATGGAAAGGGTATGGAAGGTGATTTGTGTCTAGAATGTCGAATGTGGTGGTGGTGGTAAATGATGACAGAGAAGCAGATGGGAGCCAGGGCCTCTATTGCCACAGCTAGCTTTATCCCGAGAATGGTGGCACATTGGGCAATAACTGAAAGGGGAAAAGCTGGGCCAAATGTGTGTGTGAGAGAGATAGGTCTCCCTCAAGTGACCTGGGGTGAGACTGGAAGGTTGGAAAGCAGGTAGGAAGGACAGACCTTGGGTCAAAGGCACAAGGGAAGCAAGGAATGCACCTGAGGCTCTGGTCTGACAAAGTGAGACCAGCAGAGCGGCAACAAGTTTGATTCCACGACGTGATCTCGGTGGCAATGTGGCTGAGTGGCCATAGAGGAGAGCCAGGAGCAGGGGAGGCTATCTGGCAATCAGAGGAGGAACCGGGGCTACAGGTGGCATTTTGGTTGCTCTCTCAGATCGTCAGGGTCGCTATCCTTGGGGAGAGGAAGGCTCTCCTGGAGAGAGGCTTATGGTGGCACCCGGAGGAGATCAGCATTTACCAGGGGAGTGGAGAAGGGGGCAAGCCCTGCCTGCACAGAGAACTGGGGACCAGGAGAGCTTATGAGGGTACCATGACTGTTAAAGGAAGAGAGCTTTTAGAACAACTTGATCAGCCATGCAACAGCTGCAGCTTTGAAGCTGTTCCTACTCTCTTCCCTTCCTTTCCTCCTCTCTCTCCCCCTTTCTTCCTTCCTGCATCATCTGTCCTTCCTCCATCCCTGCTCCTTTTCTTTTTGAGACAGAGCTTAGCTGGCCTGAAACTCACATATAGCTCAAGCTCACCTCGAAACTGAAGGTAATCCTCCTGCTTCATCTTCCTAAGTGCTAGGATTGCAGACAGAAGCAACCGAGCCCAGCTTCCAGCTTCCTCTTTTTCTAAAAAAAAAAAAAAAATTTAATTTTTATAAGTAAATTGTTATTTTTAATTATGTGTACACATGTGTCTGTGTGTGGGTTATGTGCATGTGAGTGCAGGTGCCCAGTGGAGGCCAGAGGCATCGGATCCCTTGGAACTGAAGTCCCTTTGGATATGAGCCACCCTGGGACCTGAACTCAACTTCCGAGCCTCACTCCAGAGGCTCTCTTAACAGAATGACAGCTCAGAAAGCCCTCCCTGAACTCGGGAGCCCGAGGCTGGAGGACTGCTCCTTGTTTGAGACTGGCCTGGCCTACATGGTGAGTTGTATAACAGCTAAGGACAACCTAGTGAGACTCTGCCTCAGAACAGAACAAAAGCTAGGAAAGGCAGTTCCAGCCTATAATCCCACCACCGGGAGGTAGAGGCAGAAGAATCAGAAGTTCAAGGTCAGACCTGGCTGCTCATATGGTCTGAAAACAACAACCCTGCTGGATATGGTGGCACCTGCCTTTGATCCCCGCACTTGGGAGGCAGAGGCAGGCAGATTTCTGTGAGTTTGAGGTCAGAATGATCTACACAGTGAGTTTCAGGACAGCCAGAGCTACATGGTGAGACCCTGTCTCAGAAACAAACAAGCAAAACCAAAACATTCCAGAAGAACAGTGACAGAAAATGAATATGCTTCTGGGGGAGGGTATCCCTTTAAATGGCTACTAGGAGAGAGTTCTGGAATCTCTGCTGCCTCACAGAGAGCCACCCTCCCTCCCCGCCATCCTGTGGGCTGTCTGTCCCAGGGGACCAGGCTGTGAGTCATTTTCTGGGGCGTATATGTGTAGGGGTAGGGGTGGGGAAGGCACTGGGCCAACAGGGGCCGGTATGGGGTGTTCAACTGAGGTGGGCAGTCCCTGGAGGACAGTCACTGAGCTGTGAGGCCCGAAGCAAAGATGAGGGCATGGGGGTGTGGAGGGTGTGGGGGTGTGGCTTCCGGGGAGGATGTCTTAAAGGCCACTAGGACTTAGAGGAAGTCATAAGTTCTTAGGGAAGGAGGCTGAGGAAGGGGCCAGGAACATGGGATGATGGGAGATTATGGAATCCTTTTTGTTTGTTTGTTTTGTTTTGTTTAAGATAAGAGTCTCACGTAGCCCAGGCTGGCTTTACATTCATTATGTTCTGGAAAATGACCTTGTACCTCTGATCCCCCATCACTGTCCCCCAAGCGCTGGGAAGACAGGTGTCCCTCACTATGCTTAGTTTGTAGCGTACTAGGGAACGGGACCTAGGTCAGGCTTCGTGTATGCCAGGCAAGCACTCTCCCACTGAGCTGCATTTCTAGCTCCCGTTTCTGTTTGCTTGTTTGTTTGTTTAACTTCACACTGTAGTCCACCTGGCCCAGAACTCATTGTGTGGTCCAGGACTGCCTTGGACTTTCAGTCTCTTGCCTCAGCCTCCTTGGTGCTAGGATTGCAGGTTTGAGCCACCATGTGACTAGTGTTGGGGATCTCGAGGTCACCAGGCAGGAGTGCTTGGGGAGGGAGGCCTTCTGAAGTGGAGGAGCCTCCCCCACAGGCAAGGGTATGAGCTGGCCCCACCTTGATGTCCTTGGCAGCTGCTTCCTTGGCATGGGGGTGAAGAGGAGCCTTCAGACTGGAGGCAATTTGCTTAATCTCTTGACCAGCATCCTCACAATACTGTCCACTGCTACCAACTACTGGATCCGACAACAGGGAGGCCACAGTGGCCTGTGGCAGGAGTGTAGCCATGGCATCTGCTCCAACATTCCCTGCCAGAGTGAGACCCTCACCTGCCCCTATATCAGACCACACTCCAGAGTCCTCCCCTACCCCCAGCTCCAGCTGTGCCCTTCCACCCCAGGCTCAGATCCAGCTGTCCTCCACCACCAAGGCTCTTCCTCCCCAGACCTGTCTCTCTGCCTTCTTCCTATGTGTCCTCATCGGTCCCCATATAGACACCCCAAAACAGCTGAGCTCTAGATGCACAGTGTGTGGCCGGATGAGGGTGGCCAGAAGAGCTCAAGGTTGCTCTTTCATCGTGGCAGGGTGCCCAATTGATGCTACTCTGTCTCTACAGACACCCTGGCAGTGACCGCAGCATGCATGGTGTTGGCAGCAACCTTCAGTATCATATCTTTGGGGCTGGGGATGAGGATTCGGTGCCAAGAGGGCGAGTCACTGCGTAGCCAGAATGCCATTGTCTTACTTTTTCTCAGCGGTGAGAAGGCAGCCACCCCCATGTCGGAGAGTGGGTGGTGGTGATGGCAGTCCTGAAGGAGTGGGCCAAGAGAGGTTGACTGATGTGGTTAGAAATGGAAGGACATGGCTGGAGGATGAAGTGGAGGAGTCCAGTACAGGAATGATAGACTCCTAACAGTGGGAGAAGTGGGTGTATCTCTAACTCTTTTACCTGCTCTTGGGACTCTTTTCTTCCCATTGGGTTGCCTTGCCCTGGCTGTGGTCTCCTGAAGGCCTGCTCTTTTCTCAAGAGGAAACAGAGGGAAGTGGATCTGGGGGTGGGGGAAGATTTGGAGAAGCTAGGGGGAGTGTAGGGAGAGAAAACTGGTCAGGATGTATTGTATAAGGGAAGAATCTATTTTTAATAAAAAGCAAGAAAAGAAAACAGGAGGGCAGGGGGAGAAGTCCACAAAGGTGGAGCCAAAGGGTAGCTGGGCTACTTTTCAACCAGCCAGAGGCCGTCCTGAAGGGCGTGGCCTAGGCAGTAGGGGCGGGCTTGGGAGCAGCCCCGCCTGGTCCCGCTCACCTGACAGGTGGGCGTGGCCCAGGGCTGTTGCTGCTGATTGCATTGGCTGGATACACTGCAAAGAATGCCTGGAAGCCGGAAGTCTTCTTCTCCTGGTCCTACTTTTTCGGATGGCTGGCTTTACCCTTCTCGTTTCTTGCGGGTAACCAGCCCAAGGGGAGGAGGGTGGAGACTACCCCTCTAGATGACTCCCCACCCCAGAAGCTTCCCAGTCACCTGTTCTCCCAGGAAAGCCCACAATGACTTCCAGGGACTCCCCAACACCTGCACTCCAGATTCCAGCACACCCGGTGGAGACGCCCTTGGAGTCCCCATCCCTAGTCCCCAGGCAGGCCAGGTCATCCGCCCTAGGGCCCACCTTCCTCCCCCGGCTCTGCACTCCCCTCCTGCCAGGCTTCTGCTTTCTGCTGGCGGACATGATCATGCAGAGCACCGAAGCTATCAGCGGGTTCCCAGTGTGCCTGTGAATGCGGCCTGACTGGGGCAGAATAAAGGAATTGCTTTTAGTTCCGATCCTGCGTGCTTTTCTGCTGAACGTAGACAGGCTTGAAGACAACGGGGACACGGATGTGGGGACCTGTAGAGTAAAAGAGGTCCGGAGGAATGTGGGTCGGTGGGAGCGAAGACACGGATACTGGAACATGGAATGGACCCGGGGTGGGGGTCACGGGAGACGTGGGCGAAGGGAGAGAGTATGAGGATTAGCCGACACGGGGAGTCGTAGGGGACATGGGGGCAGGGGACGAGCGGACCTGGCGGAGTCACAGGGGAGCAAAGTGTAGAAGCATAGATGTGGAGGGAATCTGCAGAAAGAACGCGGAGACAAACAAGCGAGGGGGCCGCGGGCGTGGGAAAAAAGACACAGGGTGCGCGTGGGAACACAGACGCGGCGACTTGGAATGATGGGGAGAGGAGGAATCTGGATGTGAACTACAGAGCTGGGGACAACAGACGTGCGGGGAAGGGGGGAAGGGCTAGGACGAACAAGCTCCCAGCAAATTTCTCTTACTGAAATGCCCTTTCCCCTACTTCCGCGCCACGCCCCCTCCACCCATTGCCCGCCCTGGATCCCGCCTCTCTCCCTGAGTCCCTCTTCCCATTGGTTTCCTCTGGGCTGTGCGGCGGTCGATTGGTTGGAGGTGCGGCGCGCAGGCGTAGAGACAGATACGGGCGTGGAGTGACCTGAGGTCCGGTTTAGCTGCAACTCGACCCGGCCAGTGATTGCTGCAGGAACATGGCGGAGCTGCGCGCGCTTGTGGCTGTCAAGAGGGTCATCGACTTCGCTGTCAAGGTGACTTTCCCCACCCCGATTCTGTCCCAGCACCTTGAGACCGCAGCTATGAGCTTCCAGGATCAGGAGCGTATCCCGCATGGGCGATCCTTCTCAGTTTCTGTTGCCCTTTGACCCTGGAGCAAAGATCAAGGGCTGTGAGTTTCTGACAATCAGATCCCTCTTGGGTCGCGACCCTGCTTCCCTCCTCCTCGGTCCTTTGGTAACTGTGGGCTGGAGGAATCATAATCCCTATTTAACACATGGGGAAACTGAGGCATAAAGTCACTTAGCAAGGGAGAAGCAGAATAGAGACTTATATGTGCGACCTGCGATTCAGTCACTTACCACTTTCTAGGCTGCATTACCTGCTCTGCAAGTACCCCACATGGGGAGCCATCTGGTTCCATGGAACTCAGAAACTGCCTCACCCACATAACCACGGGATGCTTGAGGAAATTCTTTAGCTAGAACGGGAAGGAGACTCGTGTTTGCTTGAAAAGCAAGTTCAAAGGCGCCAGCTACCAGTTTGACTTTGAGACAATCTGATGTTTCATTGTCCATGAGAGGTTTTAGGGCTGGATCCCTGAGGTCCTGGTCTCCTCTCAGAAAGAAGCTGGTATAGGCAGCATTGAATCAGACTGGTTCCCAGGCCAGTCTCTCTCAATGCTTGGCCCAACCTGAAATGAAAAAGATGGTGGCAGTTCATGTCTGTCTGTCTCTATCATACTGGGAGTCCCCCTCTGAGTCCTTCAAATTTCCTAGCATTCCAGGCACAGGGGCTGTGCACCCAAGAGACCTCTGAGATAGGTGAAAACTGGCTACAACATTGACGTTAATACCGCCAACCCCACACCCCCACTGAGGATTAATAATAAGGGAGAATACAGGAGGCAGACTCAGACATGAAATGGACGTGACCCTAACAGCAGACTCAAGTAGGTACAAAGCACCAGCAGACACAAGTCCTGTGCAGAGATTAATCCATTTACATCTTCTGTACTCTTAATCCCATAAGGTAGAGACAGAAACTGAGGCCTTGCTACTAGCCAGATCCCCCAGCCAAGTAAGCAGCAAGAGTCAGAAGTGCAAACAAGTCTGGCTCTCTGCCTGTTTGCCAGAGAGAAAACAGGTTGGCTTGGGGATGCTTCTAGCAGCCCGTGACAGAGATGATACTTCCAGACTTACTTATTGAGACACATACAGGTTCCTGGGACTCAACTCAATCACCATTTATTTATTTTGTGTGTGTGTGTGTTTGTCTGTCTATCTGTCTGTGGTGTGTGTGTGTGTGTATTGACGGGGACTCAAACCCAGGACCTTTCAGATGCTATGGCAGGCAAGTGCTGTACCCTTGAGCTATAGTTCCAGTCCTTTTTCTGTTTTATTTTTAAAATTATTATTATTATTATTAGTTAGAGACAGGGTCTTTTTCTTTAACATTTTAAATGATTTATTTATTTTTATTTTATGTGCATTGTTGTTTTGCCTGCATGCATGCATGGGTGAGGGTGTTGAATACCTTGGAGCTGGAATTTAGAGACAGTTATGAGCTACCATGTGGGTAGCCTAGCTCCTCTGGAAGAGCAGTCAGTGCTCTTAACCACTGAGCCATCTCTCCAGGCCCTAATTTTATTTTTTAATTATGTCTATGTGTGTGGATATGTGCACATAAGTATAGGTGCCTTTGAAAGCCAGAATAGGGCATCAGAGCCCCTGAAGTTGGAGTTACAGGTGATTGTGAGCTGCCTGATGGGGTGCTGGGAACTGAACCTGGGTCCTTTAGAAGAGCACCAAGTGTTCTTAACTGATGAGATATCTAGCCCTAGAGACAGTCTTATTTAGTCCAGGTTGGCCTGGGCTTCACTATAATGTCGAGGATAACCTTGAACTCCTGATCCTCCTGCCTCCACATCCTGAGTGCTGGGATTACAAGTGTGTACTACCATGCATGGGTCTCTCTGTTTTATTCTGAGATGTTTCGTCGCCCAGGCTGGCCTCAGACTCTCCGTCCTCTCACTGGCTCTGATGCATGGCCTGCAGCACCACACCCAGCATCCTGACCACTTTGAATCAGCTCTAACCACAGCACCTCCTGGTGCAGAGCATGGCCCATGTCCTTTATGATATATCCAGTGGGAACTGAGAGCTGAAAGGTGAACACGGCATGGTACCTGCCACTCTGCTGTCCTCAGGGTCAGTGGCTCTTCCCTCCCACACTGTGCAGGGCTTCGAACTTCATGTCGAGCGTCTGCTGGTACTCCCTTAAAGCAAGTCAGTGAGTCGGACCTTGCTAGCTAGCTGATCACTTGGGCCAGACTTAGGCGCCATAACACCCAGGCTCCCGTGAACTGTCAGTTCTCAGCCCCAGCCCTAATACACTATTGTTTCCTTTCCAGCCCCAGGCTCCCGTGGACTGCCAGTTCTCAGCCCCAGCCCTAATACACTATTGTTTCCTTTCCAGCCCCAGGCTCCAGGCCCTAGCACGTTAGCTCCTGTTTCACCTGAACCCTAGCTCCAGCCTGCCCCCTGGATCTTGGGCTCTCCCCTCCAGCCCTTTCTCAGCCTTGGGGATTTCCTACATGCAGGACTGACCCTGTCTTGCCCTTCTCAGTGTTCTGTGGCTCCCCAGCACTTTCAGTACAAAGTCCCACTTTCTTGGACTGGTTTTGGGGACCCTTGGCTATTTGGTGCAGTCATCTATGTCCCTCCCGGGGCCCTCCCTTGCCATTTCTGGTCTTGTTCTATAATCCCTTTCCATAGTATATTGTGGTCCTCTGTTTATCCCAGTGTGCCACCTGCACCTCCATTTTCAGATGGGCAACTCCTTGCCAGCTGGACCAGGCCTGCCTCACCTCTGTTCCCAGCATCACCCCATCTCTCATAATGTTTGCTCAGAGATCACCTTCTCGGAGGCCTTCTGTGATCCCTTGCTGAAAATCACAGTTTTCAGAGGCCCTACCCCCTCCGTACTCCTACTGTGTAACACGTGTCCTTTTCTTATTGCCATTCTGGAATTTGAAATCTGCTGGGGGAAAGAGTGTCTGATGTGTTCACAGTGGGAGCAGCCTCGGGCTGCAGGCATGCCATCAGGATGGTTCATCTCACTGATAAAATGTCCCTTAAAAATTATTTTTGTTTTATGGATAAGAATGTTTGCCTGTAAATATGCTATGTGCAGTATTTAGATGCACTGCTCTTGGAGGCCAGGAAAGGGCATCTGATCCCCTAGAACTGAAATTACAGATCATTGTGAGCCACCATGTGACTGCTGGGAACCGATCCCCAGTCCTCTGCAAGAACAGCTGTTGTTCTTAACCACTGAGCCCTCTCTCCAGTTCCAGGGAGAATGGTTCTTGCCTGGACTCCAAGACCAGCTGTCTGGGCCCACTCTTGGCTCTGTGACTTTGAGGAAGTTAATTAGCCACTCTGAGCCTTTTTCTCCTCCTCTTGACAATGGTACTTATGGTAGTGCCTACTTTACGGGGGGAGGGTTAGTTAATTTTTATTGCATTTATTTAGTGGGGGGGGGGGGTCATGCACATGCCACAGCACTACTGTGGAGACCAGAAGCCAGCTTTTCCTCCTCGACTGTGTGGGTCTCAGAGATCAAATTCAGGCTGTCAGCAAGCACCCTTATCTACTGAACCCTCGCAGTGGCTTACATGCGCCTTTCAGCATATCCGACTGGCAAGGGCCAGCCCTGTGACTGTTGGAGGTAGGTTAAAGAGTCCTTGGAACAGTGCCTAGTATGCGGTGAGTGCTGTTAACTGTTTGACCTGTGAGTGATGGAAGTCTCTTTAGCAACTTCCTTAAAATATAGCCAGTGCTTGCAGAAACAGGGAGAAAGAGGGTATTAATAGGTATTTGGCAACTCCATGATGTTTCGTTATGGCCAGGGACACATTTTCCATGAAGGTTAACCCTCCGAGTTATCCAGGAGAGGCTGGGTAATTTGAGGCCCAGAATAGAACCTTGTGGCCCGGAAGCATGAGTCCACCTGCAGAGTGGCCGCCCCACCCCTTTAGTGCTGGAGGAAACACTGGCTCTGCACCTTCCCTTCACCGCCACTGTCACCTCGCAGCCTCAGGCCCTGGCGTCGCCCCCAAGAGACCTC